TCCTTAAGGTAGGCCTTTGATAAAGTGGAAGGCCATTGCCGCAAGAGGGGGGCATCTCGCAGCGCGAGCAAATCTGCCGAGGTATAAGCCATACAAGTATGATGAGATGGAAAAGGGGAACTTTGGATGTCAGCGATATTTAAAGATAGTCATTGAGGTGAGAGATGGCAAAAAAGGCTGGCCAGGATGAAGCCGGGGCCCCTTCACTCTCTCACAGTGATGGGGCGACCAGATCAGATGGTTGCAGTGCAGGCGGATGGCCACAGCCGTTCTCTCACCGCGGCTGGATGTAAAAGGCCAACAATAGTCACTCTCTCCCTGCAGATGGAGCAGCAGTCCTTGACCTGGACTCTCAGCTTCTCCCTCCAGCCTGCAATCTCTCCTCCCCCGAGCCAAGGCCTAAAGGTGGAAATCGGGCGGCAGGAATAAACTAGCCAGCAGCAGAAGGAGATAGAGATCAAACATAAAAAATCCAGGAGGGTGATAATAAAGTCCCAGAGTCAGTAATGATGTGAAAATGGGCTGACCTAATAGAGAGTCCAGGCAGCAACGGGGGGAGGCCATTTTCATAGGGGGGGGAGCGAATCCAAGGGGGAAACCAGATGGTAATTGGCAATCCCCCTCTATCACTCCCCAACTCTCTTCGATGTTCCGGGCTAAATCACCCCCAATAGTCCTGCCCGTCTTCTCTGAGCAAATTCTGCCACGATCTTCCCAGGTCTCGGTCCATATGGGGGGTTTTCAGGTGCAGCTGACCACTGGACCATACACCCCGAGCCTCAAATCTGGGCTAAATAACTGTTTGAAGCGGGCTACAGGCCTCCGAGCCTCCGGGTGCCGGGTCCATCGCCCTCCGCTTCCCGCACCCCCCCCCCGGGCAGCCCAGCTCTTTTCCGGCTGCCGTCAAATCGAAGGGAGGCTTGGGTCACTATAGATGATTCCCTCGGCTCCCTCAGTTCTCCATCCAGCTCAGTTAGACTCCCCGGACCACCTTAACGCCTTCACCTCCTGCAGTCAGTCCGTAGGATGAAATGCCCGATCTCCGGGGCTCCGCGGCTGTGGAGTCATCGTGGAGGCCGCCATCGCCGCCGCCGCCCTCCTTACAGCGCTCCGATTACATCTCCTCGCTGTAGCTCTGCCATCCCTGGGCCAATCCCAATAAGGGATGGTGCATCCGAGCCATCAGACCATCGGCATGCTGACCGTGGGGCCCACGATCATTAAAATATCCTTAGACACACTCACCAATTGCTTAATTGCAGAAGATAACCTGAGAAGGGACCGCCATCTATCTAGGAGAGATCCCAGACCTGCTAAGAGGGTTGAGTTCCAGGATAGGATAAACAATATTCCAGAATGTTTTTTTTTGCGGCTCTAGGAACCATTTAAAAAGGGATTGCCCAAGGAATAACAGAAACAGGGGATACAATGACCGCAGAGAAAGACCTGAACCCGGGAGGAAATACCAGGGGAGACGATCACCAGATCACAGGTCTTTTAGGGAATGAGGGCGTGGGTGGTCTCCCAACCCCAGACGAAATAGTGAACATAGGGACAGTTCCCGGGACAGCAACCCAGGGTCAATGTATGGTTTTAGATATGGAGAGCCAAACACCAGGCAAGAAATAAGTGCGAACATGTGGGAACACCACACACAACTCAAAATTATTCATTTCCCTTACAGAGACAGATTTTGAGATAAGAGTGGCCAACCAGAGCAGTGCCAAAGTAACAGGAAAGGGAAGCGTGCATATCCCAGGGATAGGAGAAATAGAGGGGGTGTTAATGTGCCAGAGATACCGTATAACGTATTAGCTACCACTAAACTAACACAAGACACAGACACTGAGATAATGTTCAAGGAAGGCAGGGCATACATATCCAACAAAGGGGAAAATGTTGGGGAGGTAACAATACACGATGGGCTACCTTACTTTACACCTAACAAAAATGAAAAAGGAAGTGTAAACATAAACACTGTTAATGAGAGAAAGGGAAACAAAGAAACAGGGGGAACACACCAGGGGGCAACCAATTGTAAGTCAACAGGTAAAGATATGGTATCTATGGGAAAGTCCATCCATGACAATTGTGCTCACCTTCTCCATAGAAGACTAGGGCACATCAGTTTTCCAGTTGTTAAGAAAATGTTGGAATGTACAGAGGATTTAAAAGTAAAGGATTGTGAGAATTACCTAGAGTGTTCTGTTTGTAAGTGTTCAAAAATTAAGGTCAAAGCAAGGCCAAAGAAATCAGGGCGAACTACTGACTCTATCTTTCAATTGGTGCACATAGACCTGGTAGGGCCACTGAAGCCATCCATTAGGTATAGAGAAAGGTTTTTCCTAACCATCGCGGATGATTATAGTCGATACGGTTATGTATACTCACTTAGACACAAAAATGAGGCATTCAAAGGTTCAAAGAATTCTATAAAAGGGTAGAATTACAACAAGCCACTAAGATCAAACAGATAATGACTGACCGAGGTTCAGAGTTTATGGCCAGAGTCTTTATGAAATGGTTAAAAGAACGAGGCATATTACATTTCACTTCTTTGCCTTTTTCCGCTTTTCAAAATGGAGTTGTAGAATGTAAAAACGGTGTGCTCCAAACAATGATGAGATGTGTCCTAGAAGATGCAGGGATGGGCCAATCATTCTGGTCAGAAGCATTGCACTACTCAAACTATACATTGAACAGGTTATGGTCTAGTTCAATTAATAAAACCCCATATGAGTTAATGCATAAAAGGAAGCCTAACTTAGCCCACCTGCACAAATTTGGTGTCCCAGCGAATGTTCATATCCCCAGACAATTAAGAAAAAAGGGAGAAAAGATATCCAAAAGACTAAGGTTCATGGGGTATGAACCAGGAACAAAAGGCTTCAGGTTCATAGACTGCAATAACAAATTTATTGTATCAAGGTCAGCGGACTTTCATGAACATTCTAATTGGTCAAGACTACACTCCAATGACATTATTCTTGGTGGGAATACACACACACGTAATCAAAGGGATGATAACCAGGTCACTGAAAAAGCAACAGAGACCAAAACACACAAGTCCAAACGCCGCGAACTGAAGGCCGAAGAATGGAAGGAAGGGCACCCCACTTTAAACTTAGACAGTCTCACTGACAAAGAAGCCAAGTGCCTGCACGAAACAGACACGCCACCTGATAGACCAGTCAGAGCAAGCAGAAACAGGGTACCAAAGAGACTTGAGGACTATGTCATGTCCATACAAACAAACAATACCACACCCGCTCCTATGAAGAGATACTCAACCTTCCCCAAGAAGAGAAAGAAAAATGGGAACAAGCTATGGAAAGAGAAATGAAGAGCCTCAGGGACATGCAAGTATACTCACCAGCCTGAACACCAGAAAATAAAAAAGCCATCGGGACCAAGTGGGTATACAGGATCAAGACCCTAGAAGACAACAAAGTACTGTACAAAGCAAGACTAGTCGCACAAGGCTTCGCCCAAAAGTATCCAGAGGACTACACAGACACCTACTCGCCCACGGTCAGGGCTGAAAACGTCAAGAGTGCCCTAGTGATAGCCACCATCCTAGGGCTAGAAGTATTTCAATTTGATGTACAAACTGCATACCTTCATGCAGAATTGGACAAGGAAATTTACGTCAAGGCCCCACTGGGATATAATGAAGGAAAAGACAACACGTGGCTTCTGAACAAAAGTTAATATGGACTCAAACAGTCAGGCAAGAGATGGTACGACTGCCTAGCCAAGGCCCTCAACTCTATGGGCTACACCGCCACTTCAGCAGACAAATGCTTCTTCATAAAGAGAGAAAAAGAATCATTTGAAGATATCCTTGTCTACGTGGATGACATATTATACATAGGGAAGCAAAAAACCAAATGTGACAAGTTCGCCACTGAATTAAGGAATCACTTCTCATTAAAATCACTAGGGAAAATAGACAAATACTTAGGGGTTCAAGTGACCAAAACTGATAAAGGCTTCCGGCTCTCACAGAAAGAGAAAATCACAGAACTATTATTAAAATGTAATATGTCAGAGATAAAACCCAGCGAAACCCCCATGCAACCAGACTTCTTAAAGAATATGTATGATGAAGCTGAACCCTTCACTGATAACAAATTATAAGATCACTACTGTACATAGCTAATTGGACAAGACCAGACATTGCTTTAGCTGTCAACCTACTATCCAGACACGTGAGTAAACCCACAACTTTCCATTGGGATGCCATCAAAAGGTTACTCAGATACTTAAAATATAGTATTAATGCCCACTTATGCCTTGAACCAGACTTATCCATGAAACCTAAACTATCATGTTATGCGGATGCTGATTGGGCGGGAGATATCAAAAGTAGGAAAAGCACCTCCGGATATGTATTTTTTCTCAACAAAAGCCCAATACATTGGTACACAGGAAAACAAAAACTAGTAGCCACCTCCACCACCGAGGCAGAATTCGTTTGTTTGTCTAAGGCCGCAAATAACCGAATCTGGTTTGATGACTTACTCAACGATATCTGGACAGAACCATCATACCCCATAATTATTCACGAGGATAATAAAGCAGCCATTGAGATATCAAAGGCCGATGCTGTTTGTCAACGGTCAAGACACATCGATATTAAGTGTAAGCATGTTAGACAATTTTCAGAGATCGGGTTTATTAAGGCCATACACTGTGACACAGAAGAGCAAACAGCAGATATACTTACCAAACCTTTACCTCACAAACAACACGCATACCTCATGTCGAAAATATGTGTTTATATGTAAATCACGTGATTTTATGTATGTTAATATATATGTATGTAAATGCCATGTACCTGCCATCAGTTAGACATTTAGAGGCGGTTTTGTCACGTAAAATGTCTAACTTACTTGTATCCCAATTCCTCACAGCCCTGCAAGGGTTAACACTACCACATATCCCATTACGCCCACAATCCCACCTTACCTCTAACTTCTCCCCTTGGGTATAAGAGGTCACACCATAAGGCCATCCAGCAGTTCCAGATGTGTACCTGTAAGAGAAGGACAAAGGTCAGTTGCTACTAACTGAACAGGCCTAAGATTAGTTCAGGCCTGCAATAAAAGAATGAATAGAAGATATCTTTTTGTCTTGTGAGTTATTGGGTTAGATCCATCAACCTAACATTGAAAGCTTCCAGTGATGAAGCTCCCACAACTTCTGAAGGCAATTTCTGTTCCATGGGCTGATTGTTCTCACTGTCAGAAAATTTCTCCTTATTTCCAGGTTGAATCTCTCCTTGGTCAGTTTCCATCCATTATTCCTTGTCCGGCCTTTGGGTGCTGTCAGCCTCAGCTTTGCCTGCTTCAGCTGCCATAAGAAACGGGGGAGGGATTAGTTATGGGGCGAAGGGAGGGGGGAAGATGCAGGAGGTGTTTTTTTTTTTCTTTCCACTGTAGGACGTGTCTTCTGAGGAATCAAAAGTGGATCTTCAAAGGGAACGGCTGACCAACTGCCCTACATTCCTGATGAATGACGCTGCCAGACGTGATGCCACCTGACCTTTGGGAGACCTTTGGATTGGCTGATGACCAATGGACACGGGGGGGGGGAGAAGCTTAGTAGATGCTATTCCGCGCGTTTTGCTCACTTCCAGCTTTACCTGGGTTGCTATCATTTCATATTCAGTAAAAGTACTAAATTCTTCAAAATGCTTGAGTTTGGGGTTTTCTTTCCTGGATACTGAAGGAAGCATACCTGACATTAAGCTGGAAGTCACAACCAGTCATCCCGGACAAAAACCGAGGGGACTGTAAATCCAAAATATGTCAGATCGAGGGAGTGATGGAGAAGAGAAGACGGGGGCAGCAAATTCAACCGCCCTCCAGTCGGAAAGAGAAACTGCAGAATGGTTGGAAAAACTCTGTTTGGAGCCGGAGGAAGCTAGATGGTCCAAAGGAGTGGGGAGACTGCCGGACTGGGGGGAGGACCCCCGGGGAGTGACGATTTCCAGACCCCGTAAAAAGGAGGCAGTGTGGATGCAACAGCAGAAGGAACGTCTCATGATAGACCAAGCCTTGCAGCTTATCCGTGATGTAGAAGAAAGCAGAAAAAACCGTGAGTCTTTTGGAATTCCTGTGGAGAAGGGGGAAGCAGGCCCCAGGGGGGAGCCAGAAGAGACAGCCTGCGGGAGAGAGGAAGAGTTTGAGGAGGGAACATCCCAGGCTTCGGCAGCTCGAGGGAGAGATGCAGCCGGCCAGAGAACCCCAGCCTTGCAGCCCCCCCCCCCCCGCAGACGTAAAAAGCCAAAAATCCCCCCCCCTTCCTGGGAAGTTTGATGGGAATCCTAAATCCTTGGGATTTTTCCTGACCCAAGTGTGGAACCACATGCAGGATTGGGGGGAGGACTACGAAACAGAGGCGGCTAAAGTCAGAAGCGTCGTGAATGCCCTAGAGGGAGTAGCTGCTGAGTGGATGGTGGTTCTCCACAATAACAACTCCCTCTTGCTGAGAAATTACAAACAGTTCATGAGGGCCCTTAGGAGGCGTTTTGAAGACCATTTAGCTGAACGAAAGGCGAGACTCAGAATGAAGAGCATTCAGTAGGGCCGGAGACCGGTAGCAGAGTATATCCAAGAGTTTCGTGAACTGGCACCCTATATGACAGGCTGGTCAGAAATGGCTCTTTTGGAGAGTTTCAAGGATGGATTGAATGAAGAGATATATCGAGACTGCAGAAGCATGGGGGTCCCCGATGATTTGGATAAATGGTACATAGTAGCTGAGGACGTAGAGATCGGGCTGAGACGGAGCAAACTCCGAGGAAGGCGGATGGGGGACCAGTCATCCTCTTTCCACCATAAGGGGGCACCCAAGATGGCTGGCGGGAAGACCGAATTCAAACCCAAGTCAAAGCCCTTCACCTGTTTCAAATGTGGGAAAGAGGGTCACCGGGCTGCCGAATGTTTCTCCAAGCCACTGCCAAAAAGTTCCGGGGCCGGTCAAAAGAAAGGCGACAAAATACCTGCCAAAACCCGCGGCACCGCCCTGAAAGGAGAAGTCGTTGAGTTCACTCCCCGAAACCAGGGTGAGTTGGGAACTCCGACCAATGATGACGACAGTGAGACGGACTCCGACTCCAACACCGACGATCGGGTGAGTCACACGGAAGAACCCTTACTCATCCCCGTAGAAATAAGGGTGCCCTCCACAGGGGCTCACGCGCAATTGTTAGCCCTGTTGGACTCGGGGTGCACTAGGTGCATAATTAGCCCCAAAGTAGTGGAGGAAATGGGACTGAGACTAAAAACTTTAAAAAGACCCATTGCATTTTGTCAATTAGACGGGTCGATTGCAGGAGGGGGCCCAGCTAGCTTTATGACTGAACCCATTGAACTGCAGTTGGGGAATCATGTAGAGAATCTCAGATTTATTGTAGCCCCTGGTATGGAAAGACCCCTCATTCTAGGACTGCCCTGGCTTCGCAAATGGAACCCACGAGTAAATTGGAAAACAGGGGTCCTACGCATCCGCACGGCAGAACCAACTCCGGGAAAGGAAGGCCCCCCCCCCGAGGGACGACATAAAACCAGAAAGGGCGGCCGTAGCCATTAACCATATTGAGGGAGAAGAGAAAATTCCAAGGGAATATTGGGACCTCAAGGAAGTGTTTAGCGAAAAAGCATCGGATGCTCTGCCTCCCCACAGGGCCACTGACTGCACCATTGAAATACTCCCTGGGGTGAAGCTTCCCAAACCAAAAATTTACCCCATGACACCTCGAGAATTGGGGGAATTGCGAAATTTTATTGACAAAAACTTAGAACGGGGATTCATTGAACGAGCCAAACCCAAGGTGGCAGCGCCAGTAATGTTCCGCGAAAAGAAAGATGGATCCTTCAGATTAGTAGTTGATTATAGAAACATGAATGCCATTTGCGTAGAAAATGTCTATCCCCTCCCACTCATGAAGGACATGTTAGCCCATTTAGGGAAGGGAAATTTTTTTACCAAACTTGATTTAAGAGAGGCATACTACCGAGTGAGAATAAAAGAGGGAGATGAATGGAAGACAGCATTTAATTGCCCACTGGGATGTTTCCAGTTTAGAGTACTCCCTTTTGGACTACAGGGAGCCCCGGCTGTATTCATGCAGTTGATCAACGAAGTGCTGCATGAGCACCTATATAAGGGGGTGTTGGTCTATTTGGACGATATTCTAATTTATTCTGACAACATGGCCGACCATGTAAGACTGGTTCGAGCGGTCTTGAATAAACTCAGAGCAGCTGAACTCTATGCCAAACTTTCTAAATGTGAATTCCACCAAGACAAAATCGACTATCTTGGATATCGTATATCGCATGAGGGAATAGAGATGGACCCGGAAAAGGTCCGGGCAGTGATGGAATGGGCCGCACCACGCACCCGTAAACAGTTACAGAGTTTCTTAGGGTTCGCAAATTTTTATAGACAATTTATCCCCTCTTTCACGAAAATCGCGCTGCCAATTACAGACTTGCTAAAAACTAAAGGGGAAGTAAAACCCAAACCCTCGAAACCACTAGAATGGACTATGGACTGTCAAGCTGCTTTCGAAAAACTGAAACGACTGTTTGCAGCTGAACCTGTGCTCAAACACCCCGACATGGAACAACCTTTTGTAGTACAAGCTGATGCTAGCGACGTCGCTGTAGGAGCAATACTCTTGCAAAAGAATGAGAACGGGATATTACAACCCTGTGCTTACACGTCCCGTAAACTATCAGACACAGAAAGGAGATGGGCCATATGGGAGAAAGAAGCGTTTGCAGTTAGATGGGCGCTGTTAACATGGAGACAATTTTTAGAAGGGGCAAAACACCCTTTTGAGGTGTGGACTGATCATAAGAATCTAGAAGCATTAAAAACACCATGCAAACTATCACCAAAACAGGCACGCTGGGCCCAACACTTCAAGCGTTTCAATTTCACTTTACGTTACCTTCCTGGTGGAAAAAATTTCATGGCGGACGCACTTTCCAGATTGCCACAGTACAACAGCATCAAGAAGGAAGTGGTTCGGACTTCCGGTTTGCTAGCCTTTGGCGGCGGCAGTGCCTTTTGAAGCTCCGCCAGCCCCGCCGCCTGTAGAGCCGCTTCGCGATAGAGAAGCGGCTCGAAAACTTCAAAATCCTGAGGATTGTTGGAGGAGAGATAGCAGGGCACAGGTCGAGCCCCTGTAAACCCCCAGGGAATTGTTTCTGGGGAGGAAACAGGCGCGGCTCCCTCCCAACCTGCTGAGACTCCGGGCGGCGTGGGACGATTCTGCTTCTGCAGAACAAGCCGGCTGCAGTAAACATTTAAAGCGAAAGGAACCAACTTTAACAAGCAGCGGATATACACTTGAACCCTGAAACTTGGAATCGCAAGTATTAGCGCTTTGTTGACTTTTCAATTTAAGAAAAAATGCGAATGAGTGAAAGTGACTTGAAAAAATATGGCGCTCAGCATTAGAGTTAACGAGCCAGCAAGTGTGGATTGGTGAAGTTATCTGGCTTTGTTACAAAGTTACTAAGTTGCTACAAAGTTGCTTCGTTTGTAACAAGAGAATAACAGAGAAATTTCTCCTTTTTCAATACTGGACTTTGCTTTACTTTGGTTCTTATTTGATTAAATCTGGGGGACTTTTTCAGAAGTCTTTGTGGAGGTGGGAGAGGAAGAAGAACTTCCCTTTTTAGTAAAACCAGCCTACGTGGCAGGATGGCCTCAAAGAAGCAGGAAGCGAAGGCAACAGGAGGTGGATCTCCCACACATAAAGCACAGCCTCCCCTAGTACAACAGATACAGACTCAGAAAAAAGATTTTGATGTGGGAGATTTAAAAGAATTTATTTCTAAAACTTTGGATGATAAATTTCAAAAATCTCAACAGGAGATAGATGATAAACTTCAAAAATCACATCAGGAATTTATGCAGGAAATTAATGAAGTTAAAGATATGGTGAAACAGAATCAAAACAAGGTGACCAAAAAAATATCAGAAGTGGCGTCTGGCCTGGCAGAATTTATTGTG